AGTAAAACATATAGCTTTCTCATATCTCTATATTACACATGCAGTTTTACGTGTTACTGATTAGAAAGATTGTGAATGATTATAATCAATATTAATGATTGAGATCATAGTTAGTTAATTAAAGGTTAATAAATCATCAATTAAAAATCATCAATATTATTACATGTCTATCCTGTACTTGATTTAGTAGTCTTCGTTTTATATGGAGCACGTCAAGCCTGACCTTCTCATTCTCAAGAACAACCGATGAATACTTCTGCCATAACACTGAAATGAAATATTTAGATCATATATAGATTGCTTTCACCATGGCGTTTCACAAAGCACTATCGTACAGCAGTTATCAGAGTCGGACTATGTTAATTCGCCATTTTGAGCTACTGTCTGCCCTCGTGAAAGATTCTAGACAATTCAAACAATGCGAAAAGCGACTTTTACCATTATACAAACAACTAAATTATAATACTAAAAAGTTGTATTTTGTGGTGCGGAGACTCTCAAACGTGGGAGAGGCAGAACCCAAAAATGGCTGAAAATCGGTCGTGAGAAAGGATAATTCTCTCATTGTATGTCTTGCATTTGGAGGGTTTTCATTTTCTTGCGTCTGAAAGTGTCAAAATACGCGATGATAACCAGCATCTTTCAAAGTTAGGACATGCTAATCTTTTCTAATCTAATCTGTGATGTGATGTAATCTAATCTAATCTGTGATGTAATCTAATCTGATGTAATCTAATCTGTGACGTAATCTAATCTGTGATGTAATCTATCCAATCTGTGATGTAATCTATCTAATCTGTGATGTAATCTAATCTAATCTAATCTGTGATGTAACCTAATCTGTGATATAATCTAATCTGTGATGTAATCTAATCTGTCATATAATCTAATCTGTGATGTAATCTAATCTGTCATATAATCTAATCTGTGATGTAATCTAATCTGTGATGTAATCCAATGTGTGATGTAAGAACGAACCTGCCAGCATATCCTTCAACTTCATCACCTCATCAGCATTCCCCTTGGACACTCTTCTCACTTGACAAAGTTTCTTTAAAGATTCAATCTCGATACTTTTCTCTTTCTCAACGCCTTGAGACTGCTCGACTTCTTTCATCAACTCCATGGTAACCGTACCCAGTCGTGAGAGTTCTTCTCTTAGACTTTCTAACGACGTTGATGTTTGAGCTTCTGAGGCCACCGCTAGATCACGTTGTTCAGTTAGGTCCTTAATCTCTTGTTTTAACCGATGCTGTTTACCTTGCAGCTCAGGGCTTACAGCTTGATTAAGCTGTTCAGAAAGTGCTTTATTTTCTTGCTGTAAGTGAGCTATTTCTGAACTGTTATCATTCATTTCTGTACCTTGCGCCTCAGGATTTAGTGCTTGGTTAAGCTGTTCAGTAAGATCTCTGTTCTCTTGTTGTAAGCGAGATAATGTTGACTCGTGCTCCCTGGCTTCCATCTTGGAAGTGTTAAGTTGTTCTTTTAGATCCTGATTTTCACATTCAAGACGATCAATCAATATTTTTAATTCACTCACATCCTCAGAGCTCGTTCCTGGTTCATTCGGCAAAGCCTACATAGGGACAAAATACGTAAATTTTATAAAAAAAAAACAAAGTCAACATTTCCCAGCATAATTTACAGTTTTTGATTATAATTTCGCTTCAGTCAGATTTGATGAAAGTTCTTCCATTTTGACTCTACCAAAGAACACAGGTTTTTCTTGGACCTACTGTACACTTTCCTCTTGTAGTGACACAAGAAATGACCCTTACTGGACCTCTAGGTAGAACAGTTTAAAACTGATGAAGGCATGGAGCTATCCAGAATATAAAGTTTAGTTTAGGTTTCCTCCTGTAGTAACACTGGATCAATAAGAGATGATCCTTACTGGACCTCTAGGGAGAACATTTTAGAAGTGAAAGAACAAATTAGATAAGATAACGTTAGTTTTGTATAGGTTTCCGATGCTCACCTGTAGGTCGCACTCGGCTGATTCTTTCTTAATGATCTCAAAATCACTCTCGGACTCAGGAAGGTCTTCCAATACAACATTCTGTGACTTGACAGCAATTCCCTCTACAAAATATTCAAATGCAATTCACTCAGCACTGTCACGCAGCAAACGCTGGTCTGACTTGACCGTCAACCTGCAACTGTGCAACAGCAGTAGTCTTGAAGCCAAATAGATAGAAATGAGAGACGTAGTATAATTTTCTTGCTCATGTCAACAATTCTGAAGTTGCGTAGCATCTGTTGCAGCGGGGTCAAACCTACCTAGTTCAGCAAGCTGTTGTTCTAACTCTTGTATCCTCAGCGAGTCCTCGTGATGGAAGGATTCCAGTTCCTCTATTTCCTGTTTATGTTTCTTGTTGAGCACGGCAATTCTCTGAGAATATGTCGTGTGTAATGTCGCCAGTTCATGTTGGTAGTGGTCTAGTTCCTTGTGGAGGTTTTCTGATTCATTCTGAAAGAAAATATTGAACATTATACACAGACATGTCTTCAAATTAAATCTTTCAAGACTGGATAGCTCTATCAGTTCTAAACTGTTCTTCCAGCAAGGATCATCTCTTATTGATCCAGTGTTACTACGGGAGGAAACCTAAACTAAACTAACTTTATTTATACTGGATAGCTCTATCAGTTCTAAACTGTTCTTCCTAGAAGTCCAGTTAGGATAACATTCAAATATTAATGTTTATTTACATTTTTACTCCACTGTTGCTTTTCTTCCTGTAGTTTATTAACAATTGCTTTGAGATACTGAACTTCATCTTGACTCTTGCTGTCAACAAACGAATCTTCGTTAAAACTCGGCACTCTCTCACGATCTCGTTTGGAGCCATGTTCTTTCCATGATTCCAACTGTTCTCTTAACTGCACAACTTCATTCTGAAATATCATACAGTGATCTGTATAAGTAACTGGAGTAATATAAATAAGAGTGGAGATGTTGATATCTATACATAACTGGATTGTTCTGGAAATAAAGTGGATGCAGAGGTCTCTATACATTACTGGATTACTCTGGAAATAGAGTGGACACAGAGATCTCTATATATAACTGGATTACTCTGGAAATAGAGTGGACACAGAGATCTCTATACATAACTGGAGTATTCTGGAAGTGGAGTGGAGTATTCTGGAAGTGGAGTGGACACAAAGATCTCTATACATAACTGGACTAATCCAGAACTAGAGTGGACACAGAGATCTCTATACATAACTGGATTACTCTGGAAATAGAGTGGACACAGAGATCTCTATACATAACTGGATTACTCTGGAAATAGAGTGGACACAGAGATCTCTATACATAACTGGACTAATCCAGAACTAGAATGGACACAGAGATCTCTATACATAACTGGATTACTCTGGAAATAGAGTGGGCACAGAGATCTCTATACATAACTGGATTACTCTGGAAATACAGTGGGCACAGAGATCTCTATACATAACTGGATTACTCTGGAAATAGAGTGGGCACAGAGATCTCTATACATAACTGGATTACTCTGGAAATAAAGTGGACACAGAGATCTCTATACATAACTGGAGTATTCTGGAAATGGAGTGGACACAAAGATCTCTATACATAACTGGACTAATATGGAACTAGAGTGGACAGAGATCTCTATACATAACTAGAGCTGCAGATGATAGGGGTACAGCTACTTGAAAAAATACAAGGAAAACTTCGACATTTCGAGTGAAGGCCGTTCTTCAACTTCCTGATGAAGGGCTCTCGCTCAAAACGTTGAAGTTCTCCTTGTATTTTCAGGTAGTTGTATCCCTATCAATCCACAGCTTTCAATGTATGTACCTCTTTCTCTTGGAGTAATATCCTGTATTCACGTGAAATACTGCTGATCTGAAGTTCTGCAGCGTCAGCTCTCTCTTGGAGCTCATGATTGAGTTCCTTTACCCTGTCATACTGACAAAATAACACAAAAATTAAACTATTATAAAAATTGTTTGACAAATTTTATATGGTCTACAAGTGAAGTAAGAGATAAAAACATTGTCTACAAGCAGGCTTTTAGCAAATTTGTCAACAAGTTGTAACAATGCTGTTATTTTATCAAGTTGCTACAAGGTTGTCACTCACAACTTGTTGAGCTCAACAACCTTGTAGCAAGTTGTCAACAAGCTGGGAACAAGCAGTGCAAACACATACTGTTGACAAGTTGTAGTGGAACAGCATTGCTACAAGTCTGCTGCAGGTTTGTTACAACTTGTCCGTTTTTACGTGTATACACGAACCTTTCATATTTCTCACACAAACCTTTCATATTTGTAACAAGTATTTGATATTTCAGTTTGATCAGGCAATCATATTAACTATCCTTGCACTGAATGACTGAGTAATATATTTGGAAACTATCAAACAGCCATTAGAGGCATTGAAGTTCACTTTATAGCATCATACCTCTTCTCGTTGTGTGTAAAGCGTCAATTCAAGTTCTCGAACACGCGACTTTGCAATCTTTAGCTCCGTCTCATGATCTGCAAATGAAATAATCACTTGCATAAAAAGAACTATGCCCACAACTTGACCACATGTTTATCTGAGTAGCAGCTTGTCTTGAAAATAATCCATCTGTTTACCATGTTTATATGCAAACAAATTATTATCATCAATCTTTTCTGTGCTCAAGTTTATCCATACAGATAATCTCTAGCTTAAATTTGACAAATCACATGCGAAATTATCAAGAGCATTTAAATTGCTTTGATATTAGACACGTTTTTGACATTATAGCAATTTGGGATTAATATTTAATATTAAAAGCAGTTAGATACTATCAAACCATTATATATAGTCTAAATACTTGGTATTAGATTCAAAATTTATAATTCCCAGTAAATGTGGGGTATAATAACGAAACTATCAATAAATATATAAAATATTCAGTCTTACCATCTACTTCCACCGTGCCTTCGGTCAGAATGTCTTTTGTAAACGTGGAGATTTGTCCAGTAATGTTTGTTAAATTTTCTGTTAGACTGGTACTTAACCACGACATTTTGAAAGCAAAACAACATTAAATAGTAAAATTTCAAAATATATTTTTAATTTAGAAAAATAAATAAACGAATCACGGATGATGTGGCAACATTTTGTGGTTGGTCCCCAGACCTTCGTCTGCGCGTTTTGGAGAAGAAGGGAAATTTAAGGAAAATCCAAAAACGACAGTTTTCGGAATAGAAAAACTGAAAAACCATTTTCAAAATTGAATATATGGATGAAAAACTTTTGCAATCTCAAAACCTCGTCTTGTTTGACTCAGATATTGAATTACATGGTATATTTATTCGTAATCTTTTTATATTTTATGAAATTTGCAAAAAAATGTTTAGGAAAATGACTGAAAAATGGAAAATGTTCAAATGTGCTTGACGTGTCAATAATTTTTACTTGTTTCTTGTGAATATAAAGTACAAAATAAGACAAAGGTTATTCTATTTTGCTTTTACGTTCATCTATATTATATGTTTAATAATATCACAAAGAATGAAAGAATAATTAATCAAAGAAAGCTTTCAAATAATTCAAAAGGTACAAACTGGAAACATTTTCGTAACTGGAAGCACCGCGATCCAAGATGGCCGCCGACCTGGCTGAAAATCAATATGGTATTTCATGGCATGACAGTGCTTGGATTCCGATATTAAACCCAGAAAATGTACTGGAATATTTTTCTCAAAGAACAAACCCATTTTATGATAGAACTTGTAATAATGAAATGATCAAAATGCAACGTTTGGACATGTCCCAGTTGGCGTAAGAATTGATATTTCAGAAATATACAAATGATGATATAAACTTGATAAATGTTGCTGCTGAATAATAATAATTAATATGAAAAATTATGTTTAAGGTTTGATTTATTGATTATATTGATTGATCTATTGATGATATTGTTTATTTTAATGATTGATCAATAAATAAAATTATCAATTGATCAACCAATATAATCAATAAGTCAAACTATTATGATCAATAAATCAAATTATGATGATCAATATATGATCAATTGGGCCCAGCATTAATTATTTATTTGATCGTGATGATCATTATCCCATAATTTATGATGACTTTTGTGTTAATAGAATGATGCAAGGCTTGGAATATATTTTACTTCATGTTCAACATCCAATTTTATTCATTATTAGAAAACAACACCGACATTCGCCTAATCAAGGTACAAACATGAAATAAACTGTCTATTTGCCAAATAACTACTGAAGTTCTTGTCTAACACAATCTCATTCTTATTTCCTTGATAGTTACAGCTTTAGCAGACTATTACATCTTGGCCGGTGTGGTATATCAATGTCCCGACCTCGGCTCCCTTGTCAACTCTAGAATGGTATATCCAAGATAATTTAGAATTATTTATCTATTATAAAAACATTATTCATTAACTTACTGGATTTTGTTTTTTCATCAAGATAATAATAATAATTACATTTATAGTGCGCAATGTTTCATTTATATATGTTCACATGCACATAACAAAACTATTTGGAAGAGGTAATACAAGAAAAAGTATAAAAATTAATAAAACTATTTTAAAACTGTTCAATGTTAAAAAGTCTAAAAAATTATCTTACAAATATGCTTTCTTAAATAAATATGTCTTTAAAAGTATTTTTAATATTTATAAGTGTTCCTATTTTATCATAAATTAAAATATGCTTCTGACATTTTATTTCACTTTTTTTCCTAGTTGTCTGTTTTGCATAATCTTACATCTGCATTTGATGAAGGTATTAAAGTTGCTTAAAACAAATGCTTTCATGCTTAAATGTGTGTCCATTCACTGTAAATATTCAAATTGTTTTGCTTGTACCCTCTGTTAGAGTTGAACACTTAAGCTCAGTGTATTTTGTAGCATTTTCCTATGCCAGATATCATCCATCTAAAGGTTACTGGTGGGAGTTTAAAGAGAGTGAAAGCAAAGGTAATAAACTCATTCCAGATTTTAAGCGTCTCACTGGAGAGAACTAACAGTTTGTCATCTTTAGTTCCCCAAGATAATGTGAAGAAAAGCAAGAAAGAAAAATCCAAAACTGCTCCAAGTTCGCTGTTTCAACGACAACATGTCGATCTTCTCTTGGAAGAACTCATTAAGAAATTTCCTCCTCAACGAGTCAAGGTGAAACGTTTATAAAGCACACATCAATGCCTTAAATTCCTCCAAACTTCATTCCCAGGGAAATGAAAAGAACAAATAGCCAACATTCTTCAGGGCTCAATCATTGAAGATGTCGTATAATACCCCTCGTGTTCGACATTTCGACTTGTTTTTGCTATCCTGTATATTCTCATTATTCTGTAATCTTTGTTTTTTTATATTTATAGTTTCCTGTCACTTCTACTGAAACAACTAGCGCTGGTAAGTAGCGAAACGTTTTAGTTAAAGTTAAATTTAAAACTTGAAATATTCTCATATTACCCATTTTAGAGTCCAAAGGACCGAAGGAGACCGTTCAGAAAGTTGAAGCAACGAGCAGTCGAGCGTCACAAGACGCGGAACAAAGTCAGCCTCAGGGGAAACGAACACTGGCCAATGAAACTGCAGATAAACCTCCACCGTCTAAGAAACAGAAATGACGTCATAAGATTGGTGAATGTGGCGCTGACGATGATCTGTGATAGTCGGTCATGTGACGTCTTGACGTAAGATGATACTACAGCAGAGTATTACTTGCAACTTATGAACAAGTTATTGAACTGAAAGACGTTACCGTGATAACGAGCAAGGAACGAACAGTGTGAACCTATTCTGCTACCTGCGTCTGTGTGGGAACAAGCAGGAAGTGGAGACGTGTAACAACTTGCGCGTTTTCTGTAGTTGTCAATTCGCGATCAATAATGAGGTCACCTCATACTAACTCAATAAAAAATGAACACAACAATTGCACACCGATTCGATTATTTACAGACTACGTTCGCACGACGCGATAGCGAAATTGTTTGAAAACGTCACTTTTGTCGTAACAATTTGAGCACAGTTTCTAAATGGAGCCAGATGAAAACGGAACGCTTGGCGGCTTCGTGTCAACACAAACGCCGTTACTTTTTTGTACGACTTGCAAACCAAGCATCTCAGCTCTCAAAACAGTAAAGTCGAATGCTTTTCGTTCAAATTTCTTTGCTCCATTTGAAATATTTTGTGTTCACACTAGTGTTAGTTTAATTTGTAAACACACTGTAAGGGAGTAGTGTTCACACCTACACAGGGCTTAAAAAATAAATCGGGAATGCCGTACGAGGTCTTACGCTCTCTACTAAGTTGATGTATGTTTAATCGATGTGGACGTAAGCCTATTTTTTAAACCCTGAATACATTCTGCCCGCATTATTTCGTGTAGTGTCAATGTAGTATAAGAGGTTGAGTTATGTTTTCTTAAATAAATCATGTAAGATATACTCAACGCCTTCGTTTTGCGCACGGAAGAACAATTTCTCAATCATCTCTTGCGCGGCTCGTTCAAATGCTGACAAGGTTAACAATAAGCGGCCGAATCTCGCGGGACTTTCCACGCGTGTTGTTCTGACGTAATCAGAGAGTTTGACTAGAGCCTCGTCTTGGTGTTTCTCTACTTGCTGCGAGTCTTTGAGACCTTTGATGTCTAGAAAGAAAAAAACATCCGTCAAGGAGTGAATTATCCAAACGACAAACACACGTAAAAATCCCCCAACTTGTCAACAAGATGTGTTCGCAACAGGCTTGTAGCAAGCTTGTCAACAAGTTGTAACAATGCTGTTATTTTATCAAGTTGCTACAAGCTTTTCACTCACAACTTGTTGACAAATTGTTGAATTACAGGACGATAACAAGTTGTTGAAACAACTTATAAGTATGTTGAGCTCAACAACCTTGTAGGCCTTGTAGCAAGTTGTCAACAAGCTGGGAACAAGCAGTGCGAACACATCCTGTTGACAAGTTGTTGGAACAGCATTGCTACAAGTCTGCTGCAGGTTTGTTACAACTTGTGTGTTTTTACGTGTGTAGAAAGAATTTTACCTGGTTTAAATAAAACGACAGTCTTTAAATATCCACACTCAGACTCGTCAAGTTCCAGAGCCTGGATCCGAGCAACCAACTCTTGCAAGACACGAAGATTGGAAACTAGTGTCGCATCCCCCGGGGGGACGATGCCCGATACATCGAGGGGGAAGGACCAAAATGCCGCGTCTAGTATAAACAAGTCTTTCCAAGATTCTTCGAGAAGGATAATCTGGTCGCGAAAAGGCAGGGATTTGAAGCTAGGGATATTTTTCGCAAACTGAACAGAATTTGATAGAAGTTGTACTGCCATATTTTGCAGAGAGTCTGCCTTCGATCTTAACGAGATTTCTGTGCCACCTGGAGTGACATTTTCGCGGTCAGTGAGTGCATAACGTGGTGTGGGTGATGTTAAGGGGTAATGGGTTGATTGATAGGGGTACCGATGAGTAAACGAAGTATTTGGAACAACTAGCATTTGTGTGGGGACCACTTGAGGTTGAGCTGGCATAACCGGTCTGACTGGTTGAGACATGATTACCATACCGGTTTTCGTAGAAGTTGGTTCTCTCACAACTTGTGACGATGATACGTTTCTGTTTCGGCTTTCCAAAGTACCCCCAACAATTTCCGGGCTTTTCTCGACAATTGTCGAGGTATTTCCGGCAATTCCCGAACTATTTCTGCCAATCTCCGAGCTATTACGACCATGTTCCGTTTTATGACCGATATTCTCCAAATTATTTCCGACGATTTCCGAGTTTTTCTCGACCTCAACGTATGTATCACAGCCTTCAGTTTCGACTTTGATCAACACAGGGGAATCTGATCTGCGTTGAAAGTCTGGACTGCTGCTTAGACCAGCTAGAGCCATCGAGATGGGAGGAGAGCTGGAGGAACCTGGGAACGAGGGATTCGTCGCCAATGTTACGCCTAAAACGCAAAAATGATGTTGCCAAACTGTTTGCAGAATAATTTGCGTTAACGAGTCATATCATGTATTGCTATTGGTAAAATGCAAAAGTAGTTCTGTGGACTTACTGCTGGTGCTGGAGTTTCCCCTTAAATGAACAGTTTGAACACTTGTTCCTTCAAAATCTGAATAGTTCATTTCACTTGAGTCGTTTTCCCTGTTCGCCCTGTCGTAGGACACTCGCGAGCCGCTCGTGTTTTGTACACCTAGATGAGGCATCATTTTGGTTAGGGTAGCTATGAATGAAAATGAGACAACTGTATATTGTAGGAATGAAACCACAGCAGCGTGACAGAGCGCCATCATCAACAGAACACACGGACACAAACAGGTTTGATTTCTGCTAGAGAACCTAAATCTAGTTCCTAATATGTACCCCCCTTCCGCGGAATTGTACCCCCTAAAATTCACAGAAAGAAGAAATTTTTAATTCTACGAGTAGTTGTGGGGACTATCTGTGATGAAATTATAGATAATATATATATATATATTCTCGAGATCAAAATAACCACCTTCGCCTTATGAAAATTATATATAGCTACTGTTGTCCCAACACTACTTGTGATTTAAACTAACGTTGACTTTTATAAGAAACGATTTGCAGGTGAATGTGTATGGAAATTTAGGCGTCAGTTTAAAGGGGAAGTCAAGTCCGTAATGTAAACAAACGGTTTGTTTACATTTTGAACTGCTGTATTTTTTAAAATATGATGTACTGTCTGAATATCTAACACCATTTTGGTTCGTTATGCTTCTACATGAATATGAAATAGAGTTTGTGTTCAGAAAAATTCGAAACATTCAAAATTTGGGCAATGTTTACCTCAGAGGGCCCTCTATTGTTATGCGCAGAACTGATGCGCAGAACGGACTTGACTTCCCCTTTAATTGAAATTATGATAACTAATGGCATGACTCAACTATCTTGGAATTTGCTTAATGACGAAAACAAGTTATTGAGATGCTAATTTTATAAAAATTTCGAGTTGGGTGGAATGCATCACTTTGTTATGGGTATGTTAAGGCAAAAATAATTTGAACTATATTTTCATTTTCCGTTTTTATTTGAGCAGTTAAGCGTCAGCGCAGATAACAATTCCAAGTAGTAAATATTCGCTAGCGGATTTGGACCGGGGGGTCCATTTTGAGAGGGGTCCAAATCTGCTGAGACACCGGTGTGGATGCACACTCAGAGTAACATCACAAACATCACCTGAGTACATAACAATAACACACACAATAAATGCTCCTGATTGCTCCTGGTTAGGTGTAATAAAGGGTATAAAATCCATATTTCAAATTTCCATCTAAAAATACGTCACCTACCTTCCGGGTTCATATTGACCATCAAACATTTCTTAAATCTGCAGGCACGGCAATCAGTTCTGCTTGCTCGGTCTACAACACATTGGTTATTATTCCGACAGAGCCACGGGATAGACCTACGAACTGTACGTTTGAAGAAGCCACTGCATCCATCACAGCAGTACACGCCATAATGTTTCCCTGTTGATTTATCATCACAAACCTCGCAGGCTAAAAATTGCAAAAGAAAAAACATAAGTGATGTTTTTCACAAACTACAAGTCAATGATCAGGCTAATTTGATGTCAATGCGGTCACGCAATACGCGCTCAAAACTAACTCACTTGGATTACAAACCCTAACATTCTAATGTTAATTTCACCAAGTATAGTGCAAGAATCCAAATAATATACTTTTCCACTCTGTTATCTCATACGACAAAATTCAAATTCTTACTTTTTTTATGTTTCTCAAGAGGCAAACAGACTTAAAAAGTATGTTTAGTGATGTATGTGTAAAATAATGCTGAAATGAAGAGATTTTAGATAGTACGCCAAAGCAGAGAACAGTTATGTCTGAAGTGTTGTTACACCAACACACGCAAAAAGTATCATATCTGAATGGAATACATTGATATCGAAGGAAGTAGCAGGCATTAAAATAGCGTGTCCTTGTACACACTTTGTGTCCTTGTAAAAGGCGAATGTGCCCTTGTAAATTGAAAAGTGTGTACTTGAAAATATATTAAACTGAAAATATATTAATGTAATCCACGCAAAATGGCCAAATATTTTCCAAATTCTGTTCTCAGAACACTGGAAATGCCATTTCAGAGACCCCCTTAAAAGCTCGCGTCTTGGACGCTAAACTTGTGGCTTTGCCACTCGTTCTCGTGAGTCTGCGCATTTATACCAAAAATACGCATCTGAAGGCAAAGTGTGTCCTTGTAAAAATTCCGTATTTTAATGCCTGGGAAGTAGACTCAGTTCCGAAATATCACCAGCTCGAACCGACTTGACCTCATAGCTCAATTGATAGAGCATTGGACTAGTATCCCAAAGATCACGGGTTAGATTCCCCAAACTTTTCAGCTTGCCCGTTGTGGTGGCATACTCAGAGTAACACCACAAACATCATATTCACCTCCTGTGTGTGTTGGTGTTACGTACTCATGTTAATTCGCGCTGGGACCTTGTTTTTCAACATAATTTTCGGTTTTTCAAACACCTATATAAAACAAGGCAGTACAAGACAGTGCTATGGTTGAGATGGGGATCGGATCCTTTGATTTACCCCCGCCAAAATTAATAGTCTGTTTCAAATGACGCGAACGTAAATGACTTCAAATATGCTTATCGTTTTAAATTAACGAGCTTGTGTTCAAGACAATGTGCTTTGACGCTATAAAAAGCTTGGATCAAATTTCGACAAATCAAAGATCATATTTTCGTGTTGTCGCCAACTTGCTTGCGCTGTGACTGACCTTTGTCATCCAATGTGCGTTTCCGACGCGGTTTGTCGCCAGACAATGACATAACAGCAGCATTTGAAGTTGATTCCATCTTACAAAACAGCTCTCTTTGGAACTCTTCGTAACTCAAACTGACATCAAAACGTTATGCGCAAAGTTTGAAATGTCACAAATCTCACGCCATTGACAAACAGCGCCACTTCGTCTGCCAGCGACTAAACCTGATGCCAGTTATAGTGACGTGACTGCCTTCCATTAACTGCGCTTCCAATCACATGCGCTCATTTCATTGGCTGATAAAACAATACCTTCAAAGTGTCCTTGGTTTTGATTGGTCAATGCGCGTCAAAGGAAATGACATAACACCACGGTGATGGATATTTACAAAATCACTCAAATGCCACAACGGGGAACAGCCAGTCGATAATTTATAAAAGGTTTTGATAGAAGAGTAAAAAAAAATGCCGATATTGTAGGCTGACACCCTACTGCCCGTACCATTTGCGCTATGTAATCAGCTAGGTCTAAATTGAAGAACTATATTTCAGTAAAGCATTCATTGCAATAAACCATTCAAAAAAACGTCAAAGCGCATTATATGATTAGCAAGCCTGCGAAGCTATTGAAATTAAATGCGCCGACGTCTCGTAAATTCTAACCGCCACCTTAACTTATCCCGAGTCTTCCAAATTTGCGCGGTCAAAATTTTTTGTAAACAAAAATTTATTGAAGTAAGAAAATAAAAACATAAAATGGTTTGTGATAAATGTATGTGAAACTGTTTTTTTTTAACTTTTAAAACTTAGATATACTGTATGAATACCCTGAGTTATTCATGTTGTTGTTTGTAAGTTCCTTGTAGATTTACATGGCGCTAAATTATTGTTTTGTTTGGTGGAAAACACCACAAATTTCTTTCTTTCCTGTATTTCAAAAGGTGAAAAAAAGCTTGGTAAGGTCATTACACCGGATCCCTGGAAATCTGGCGCTCGAAATACGACAGGTTAGAGCTAGGTTTTGATATTTTGAAGCCTAGAAGTTTCAGTGATAGTTGTATGTTTTGTAAAGTTATGTCACTTTGTGTTTTGTAGAGGGAGGAGGAAGGAAGGTTGGTGAGAATAAACTACTTACACAGAAGAAAAATAGGTATGTATTTATATCACTTGTAGGTACTGTTGGTGGGTGCCAGTAGGTATTGTGGGCCAGTAGATGGTGGTCAATTTCACATCACTTGTGATGTTGTGGTCACCACGCTTGCCTTTCAAGCAGACCTGGAGTTCAATCCTTGATCAGAGACCTGGGTTCAATCCTTGGTTGGACCTCTACTCAAGGTCTTAAAATAATCGAGGAGAAAGAGCTACCTTTACAATGACATCAGTAAATGGTTGGACTTTCGTGTCTTCTCAGATAAGAATGTTAAAGCCCTGCCAAGCAAGGCTGGCCAGTCACATTCCTATGATCTGACATGACTGGTTGTCATACCCCCTATATGTACTACATAACTTGTACAATTTAATTTCATGTTGCTATACCATGTTCGTTGACAGGTTTACACCTTACAGTCAATTTGAAAAATGTCGGATATGCAAGACAACTGTACATCAACCTCATTCAAAATACTGCCAAGGTTGTGCTTACAAAAAAGGTAGGGAACTGTCATAGATCTGTGGTAGCATAGGTGTTGATAATAACACCAGGGGCCGGTTGTTCAAAGGTGGATTAACATTTGAATTAACAGGGGCCGGTTGTTCAAAGGTGGATTAATATTTAATCTGCTGTTTTAGTTTATGTATTTCTGCACATCCATTTGTTTCAAAACTTCAGAGAAGAAAACTCCCATTGATCCAGACAAGGTTTCTGAAGAAATATTCCCAAATTTATAAACAAGCTGACGTTGAGAAATTTGCTCTGAATTTTAGGTTAACCTAGGGTCAAGATAATCCGCTTTTGAACAAGTAAAGTTGTCTGGCATTAGAGTAAAATCATCTGGCATTAGACGGAGTAAAATAATATAGTAGGGCACATTGCCACTTAACCCTTTAAGTGGCAATGCACCCAGATGCACCCTACTTTATTTTGTTGCTCTGTCTAATGCCAGATGATTTTACTCAAAAGGGGGAGAGTGCCACCACTCAATGGGTTAAAGGGGTTAACTAATCTGAAGTTTTCAGACATTGAATGAACATGCTTTTTCCTAGTTATTAAACCTCTCATATTTTAACATTTGTATTTTCTAAGGTATATGTTCTATGTGTGGAAAACAGATATTAAACACGAAGGATTACCGTCAAAGCTCGGTGTAGGATTTGGAAGATGTTACCATTCTTCATCAAGACCTAGCTTGCTCAGAACTCTTGCTACATTTCCTGTACAGGGTGAAATATTTCCATTTTATAAAATGCAAGAAAGACCAATGATGTGACAGAAACTTGAAAAAGCATTTTTGTTGTAAATAAGAAATGTGGAGATGCAATTGTAATAAAATTTTAATTTCAATTTACGTTAATTTTACAATGTTCTAAGAACAATGGTTATAATGTGATTTAAGTAATAACAAAACAAAAATGAACTTGGCAAAATATCTTAGGGATATAAAGTGCACTAAGTGAAAACAAAGCCTGATAATCAGGCTACTGCACTAGTTTAACATATTAGTAATATATTCTGTGTTATAATAATTACATTTATTAATCAATAACTATACACCAGTCACATTGTTTGTGCTAAGTTAATTACATACAGTATTACAAAAAACTGTTTTCAATCTTGGAAAAAATGTGAACCATACTCTTGTTCCAAGCTTCTCCTGACACTCTCAGCTATGCAGATTTTTTCTGAATCATGTGGATGAAATATGCTGGTGTTTCAATCTCTCCTTTTGGCTTGAAGTCACCCCAAACAACATGTTCAGTGTCTTTCCCAAAGACACCTTCCAAAAGCTCATCAAATTTCGCCAAGCGATGTGGGTAGTATGATAAACGGAATTTGCTAAATAAAGTGTTGAAATGTTAGCAAGCCACAAGAATCCTAAAGACCCTGGGAACAAGGTTGCAAGAATGACCACCGTAGGTAGGTTTTGTAAGCATCGTGCATCAGACGGTGGTTGACCTCCACTGATCAAAGTGAGAAAATGATGTTAATTCTTCATTATATGTAGTAGTCTTGTATTTGGTTGCAAATACATATAATTAGAGATGTAGTTGAATTTAAGTTTCAACATTTCCAAAATCGACCACCAACTGGTTAATATATCTTTCAGGAAAGTATGTCACTTCGGCTATCGAGCCTTGTTTTTATGATCGAGACACTTGGATTTAACAAATCTCACATGCATGAAAACATTAGGCTCTATAACCAACATGATATACTTTCCTGAAGGGGTGTGTATTGCAACAGTTTCAACTTTATTTTGAGAACTAAATTGGGTGCTCGTTATTGACCTCAAATCTTTTTCTGTGCATCCACTTTGTATTTTCTTTTCATCCGTGCCATCCACAATATAATCCAGTGTGATCATTGTGGGCTCCCCATTCACATGAAGGACTGAAGTTTTGATATCAATAATACGATCACTCTGAAATGCACCACAAACACACAAGATAAGTAAACAAAGCATTTTATATACAAATGGAAATTCAACTAAAAACTGTCAACAAGTCAACCATCTATGTTACAACAGGGAAAACTTCGACCTTACATTGTAGTAGACATTCCTGTGTGGTGCTTTTCCACAGTCGAGGATTGAATCGTAATTACGATGATCGATGAAGAGGAAGCCACCAGGTTTCAAAACTTCATGGAAATTTCGGATCGCAATTCTATGATTTTCCTGGTCACCCGTGAGATCTGGAAGATGTGCGAAGGAATTTCCAAGACATATCACAGCATCAAAACCACCCTCTGGGAACTCGGCATTGCCATGGTTCTCAGCCAGATCCAGCCAATTCGCCTCTTCAATCACTAGTAAGGTGAACAGCGAAATATAGAAATTACTGAGCTAAAACAAGCGAGCGAGCTCTCTATGTATATGGAGCAAGAACTCGGGTTCAAAAGATGGGGGAAATTGAAGAGCTATTGGACGTCAGTCCAGTCTGAGCGGTCAATTGAAGAAGCTGGCAAGGAATACTATGCCAAAATTTCATATATTGATATCAATTACGGTCTGTTAGAAAAAATTATTTCCTGGGAAAAATGGCATTAAAACTGTTTACGATTTTCATAGCTATTGGACGTCAATCTCGGCTTCCTTTGTCTCACAAGCAAAGTGACTGAAGTTGTTGCTCCAGATCTATACAGCTCACTGGCTAAAACCACTCCGTTTTCCATGCAAGTATAATATACCAAAAGCCCAATCTCGTTCCCCGAGCCTGCGATCCTCGGGAAGGAAGGAACGCGAGGCTCTGGGATAATCCGTTACCGGAAGCCAAGAATCCTGGCTAAGATTGAACTACGCATTCCATTTCAATGGCCAATCAGATTCCTCCCCGAAACGGATTATCCCAGAGCCTCGCGTTCCTTCCCGAGGATCGCAGGCTCGGGGAACGAGATTGACCAAAGGCCTAGCTTGTTTACTGGACACAAGTCACACAAACTTTACTATAAAATACTAGAACTGAGCATTATACGATCCTTACCCCAATTGTCAAAGGCTGCTTCTTTTCTTCGCTCCCATCTTGTTTTCAAAGCATACTTCAACATTTTATCACTCGCATCAAAACTCATCACTTTAAACCCATTCTCAAGAAACAAGATTGAATCAACGCTAGAAAATAGCAAGTGAATCATTTACACTCTTGTACAAACAATAGACAACTACACCCCATTTACATGAACAAATTAAGTGCTTACCTGCCACAATCAATAATAATAATAATAACAACAGAGAATAATTCAGAAAAATTTAAGTAGTAATAAATTAATCAATACAATCAAAAGGTTCATGATTTTATTGCATTGGCCTGATACATGCCGAAACATATATGTTACGAGCTGCATGAAGCCACCGCGATGGCAGAAATTAACATCCACTGCCGGTCGCTATTGTTTTTGTTTGTGCAGTTTAACACAAGGCTACACAATTAGGAGTGTGCTAAAATTTTGTGATTTGACTTCGATTTACAGTAAAGATTTACATGAGACCAGAACAAAGTCAAACCGGGACCATTTTGTTTTGGTCATAATATTATTTATAATAGATGTTTACATGAAACAGGAACGAAAATAACTCAGACCTGTCTCAAGTCATTCCGCCTGCTGGACCTAGCTGACTGGCATCTGGTTGTGTAAACACGAATACATTTCACACCATTCTCAGCTGTAACTTTGACATCAGAACAACAAATGCGAACAAAAGTCAAATTAAAAAAAAAAATTGAATGGCAAGGGGAATAATAAATTGAAAATTTTGTGATTTTCGTACCGGTCTCATGTAAACATGTTGACAATTTCAATTTTCATTCGGGTTGACTTTGTCCTGGTCTCATGTAACATTTTAAACTCAAACTGTCTGTGCCAGCGATGGCACTTGCCAATGAAAGGCCTTCACTTGAAACACGTTTTGCTGTTTTACTTGTATTTTTCAGGGAGTCGAATCCCTCTCACGCCGCAGCTTTCTGACGTTATGAACTGATAACTTGATTAATGTTACAGTCTGTTAGGAAGAACTAGGAAACATGGTATAAAACAGTTCACAACCTTCACAGATTTTGGATGTCAATTTCATCATCTTGGTTTCACTTTTCTCAAGCACAGAATAAAGACTGCAGTTCCATTTCCAGATATGAATAGAGCTTGCTGTGTTTTACTTACATTCCACAAAACTCCTTTTTTATCAAAACTCCTTTTTTATCAAGTCTTACAGCTTGAATGGTGAAGGAGTTCAACCATGTTTCCTTTTTGTGGAGAAGGAAAACAACCATTGTCTGGTTGGCTACCACATTTTAACTGAAAATAAAATATTGGGTGGAAAAGAAGTTAATATAATGTTTGCAGTGTTGTAGACTTGTTCATATGAGGATTTGCTATAAGAGACATTAGAATGTTTGCTTCCTTCCTACCCAGGGATATGACATACTTCATGTTTGCTATTTTTAGCCAGACATGTTAGCCAAGCATGCTTTCCATTTGGCAATGGCTGCTATGACAATCATTTTAGTGCCATTGGTAAAATAATCTGAATCAATTTTGCCTTGTGAACTGTGTGGAAATATAGTATAGGCTAAATGAAGATCCTGTCTGGCCAAATGAACATTTTCAATTGAGGTATTAGTTTACTGCCATCCCCTGCATGGGTCAATAGTTTTGTTGAAATTTTGCAAGAATACAGACCGTATCTTAATTAAATATACTTTCGAAACACAACCTATGACAGACTATAGTGTGTGCCAAATACACAAAATTATCAAAATGTAATTTTCAAATATTTTAACCACAGTCGAAATTGGTTGGATTTTTAGCCAAAATTTAAAGCCTGTAATGTACGAGTCAAATCCAACCGTGATCAGGCCCCAACCGGGCATATTGTATCATATATCTGATTGATATTTTTGATTCAGAAGCAATCTATCGCAGTTGGATTTGACTCGTACATAATTCATCTTTTGAAAATTTAGGTGACAGTAAACTGATACCTTAATTCCATAGGCCCTCAAGTCAAGGTTAACTGAGGTCTTCATATTCCCACCCCCCAAAACAACGCCCCCAACACAACCTCTACAACGAACTCTCTGAAAACCTCAATACAGCGAAATATAGTCAGCATGCAAGTATATTTAAAGCAAAATGCATTTCACAATGCTACAACAAACAAGACACACTTTTCACAAATATACAACACACATTACACCGAGTATTAACATAACAAAAACCAACATATCTAGTTACACATTCCTGCAGTTACAACCGGTTACTACGAGCTACACAAGAGCTACCTGTTTGGGCAGAAAAAAAGCAAATTTTGAAACTACTCTCTTTGTAATTAACAGACGTCGGTAAGCTAGTGCAAAATTTAGGCTACAAACATGTACATTGACATAAGTATTTAATAAAGAGAAAGCCTTTAATAATTAATGGCGTAACAAAACAGATGTAGACTACATCTCGTGTACAATTTATTGTTCTTTACAGTGCAATCATGCAAAACTAAAAGCTAAAAAGAAAGTAAAAGCCTACCCATTGCCACAAGCGACATCGCAAATATTCTGAACGCCTCGTTTGCGAAGGAGATCGCACATGAACTCTCTGTATTGTTCGGTTCTGTTCCGGCTTCCACCAATGTAGAATTCCCAGACTTTGGCAGCCTTGCCATCAGCATACTGATCAGGTACGCCACTGGCTGCTACACCTAGGGTTCTTGTTCGATATGTTCGATCCACCATTTCTGAACAAAATCACCTTTTTTCTTGCTAATATTTGTCAAAAAATCGCACACAACCACCTGTGTGTGTTACTTTCAAGAGTTTTGCCCTTGTTTATACGTTTCGTTTTAATTTTATAGCGTTGTTTTTGCAAGAAAACCCGGTTTCGCACAAGTTTTGAACAAGTTGGAAACAAGTTTTACGCCATATTGCATAAATTAATCGGACAACGAGCATGCGCAATGTTCTGTATTTCCGGACTTCAAATATTTATATGCAACATACATTTTGACGCATTTTGTGCAAATTTGAATGATATTCGAATGCTTCCTGAATAGTAATACTGGCGTTTGCGTTCAAGCCTGAAGCGTGCAGAAATTAGTAAACACAATGCGCGTTACAACACATATATTAATTACAAGTTTTATTTTAAAGCTTCACACAAAAAGCAAGAAACCAATGGTTACTCTGTACAAGAAGTAACCTTCAGAGTAGCTGAGAAGGCGCGAATCCAAACCGTACGAGCGCATTTCACGTCTTTTTGGCAACGTACAAATGCATTATAACCAGTGACAAATGCACTAGTTATAATACGCTTTCCTGATTATTCTGCCATTGATATGAATGATATCATTTCGACACTGCTTCCCAGAGTTTTATTGTGTTGGTACATGACTACCATTGACACATCTCTGTGTTCGTTTTCATATTCTCATCACTGTATTCGCAACAGTGAACAGGTAGTGCACAGGCTGACACACAACAACCACTTACTGCTTGTATATACAAATACTTTACAGCGAAATCTTTAATGAGCATAGGTTTGCCCATACTGTTGATACCAGTTTCCATAGTTGTAACCCTAAACAAGGTAAAGGATTTACAAGTTTGTCAAGTATGAACTGGGACACAAACAGGCTTGCATGCATTTGCGCAACATATCGAATCCACAAACTTGCAACATCCATAAGCCTTGTTCACACTATCAAAGTTTATCACTGTACATGTAGGAATTTTGCATTGGTAAATTCTAAGTTTTGAAGGATTTGTAAGATATTTTTGAGGGAATTGACTTAGTGTTTAGAGAACAGACTTAGTGTTAAACACTAAATCAGTTCCGTCAAACATTTCTTACAAATCCTTTAACCAATGCAAAATTCCTACTGTGATCACAGAAACTTTGATAGTGTAAAGCAGTCTTCAAAAACATGTGCTGTGGCTTCTAAGACAGACATTGTGACCAAAATGATCACAACATTAGCGACATCTCAGCAGCGTTAATTTTGGCAACAGGGAACGAGTAGAGAGACATGAAAAAGTCATTTCTACTAGCTAAAGGTTGCCGTAGAAAACCTCTGGTGTTTGGTATATAGCCTGCGTAGCAGGCGCTATTTAGGGGGAGGGCGAGGGTGGGAGAAGCTAGGGGAGGAATGCGAAGGCGAGAGAAAGAGAACGAGGAGTCAGAGAGGAAGCACTCTCCCACACGTAACTGATTATAAAAATAAAAGTGAAGCTAAAATAACCGTCCCACCTCTGCAAGTGAAGATAAAATTGAAGGACACATGACTCAGTGTTGAGTTTTCAATTTACCGATGCCTATACTTCGATAGTGTAAACCAGGTTTTACTCGAATACATACCGGTTGCTGTGCAGTGCCGTAACCAGGCCATTGAGCAGTGGTGTTATAGTTGTAAGCTGAGTTAGCTGCGTACCCAGCAATCGCTGAATAATCTGTAGTTCCATCATATACATTGTTGAACTGGTTTGATGTATCATCTGTTTTAGCAACCTTAGCAGCAGCGTCAGGCCTGCAAATACACACGAGTTAGTGTTGGGGATACAACGGCGGTTTGTTAAATTCAGCAAAACAAACTCCAGCAAAATGAATAATTTGAAGCTACAAAGGGACTCGTTGGCAGTCGATTCCAATAATCTAGTGCGTGAAGAGTGAAGAATCATTTCGAGTTTTGTGCAAAGATTGTCAAAAACTGGATCAGCATATTGGCAGAGTCCAGTAAAGCCAGCCTGGTTTACATTATCAAACTTTCTTCTGTGATCACAGTAAGAAAAGATTGAAGAATTTGTAAGAAATGTTTGAAGGAACTGACTTAGTATTTAACACCGAATCAGTTCCTTCAAACATTCCTTACAAATCCTTCAAAAAATTTACCTATGCAAAATTCCTACTGTCATCACAGAAACTTTGATAGTGTAAACCATTCAGTGTTGCAAGACAGTAGAAAAACTTCAGAATTTATTTATAACAGTAGCAAGAAAATTAAACCACATCTCGCCTGGCAGTGGACTACCAAGGTGCAGGTATATTAGAATGATATCAACTTATCAAGTCATGAAATATAGCTGACAAGACAGGCATTATTGCCAAAAGCAACATGACAACAACATATTAAGATTCTCAGCAGCGTTAATTTTGGCAACAGGGAACGAGTAGAGAGACATGAGAAAGTCATTTCTACTAGCTAAAGGTTGCCACGTTAATCTAACTTTCAGGTGATCCCGTGTTCGTATTTTAGCCAATCAGCGCTCAGAAAGGGTTGTCCGAATAGAAATCCATTTTGATGTATTCAGTCAATTATATCTTTTGTTAATCTTTATGAAACTAGTTGAAATTTTGTAATTATGTTTGGTTATGAGAACTCTAGCTCTGACAAAAATATGGAATCGAAATAAAGTATATTACAGGAGATATTCAGTTGTTTTAATCATAAAATGGATTTCTATTTGACATCTAGTGCCAGTACTTTTCCGCGTATCAAGATCATCTGGTTGCAATGGAGAGAACAAACCCTCATTAGAGAACAAATTTTCGGCTCAATTTAAATACAGTGATTTCTGACCAAATAATCCCTACCTTTACAAGCTAATGTAACTTTAATCTTAACCCTAATCCTACCCTTCCTTAACCCGAAACTTACCTTAACCGTAACCCAACCCACCTTACCATCCCAATACTAACTGCTAACCTTTTGATATCTGTGTGTGTTGGTGTTATGTACTCAGGTGAAGATTATGTTTGTGATGTTACTCTGAGTGTGCATCCACACCGGGCAAGCTGAAAAGTTTGCGTGACCACGGTGGGAGTCGAACCCGCGAAACTATGAAGATCATCAGTCACTCAATTTTTTCACAAGCAGACTGACATTCGCAACACTACACGCAGCAAAAGCAAAGAAACACCCACCCTTCATCAGAAGGTCTCTTCTTTCCAGTTGCTTGATTAGTTTTCGACTTATACAGCTTGTTATGCGCCTCTTGAGCCTTGGTGATCTTCACGATATTCGAGCTGAAATCTTCTAAGAACTCCAGACGTCTTTGAGAGAAGCTTTCCTTGATCTCCTCGGATAGTGAACTGTTCTTGACCAGCTCAAAAATCTCGTCTACTTTTTCTTCGTTCGTCTCAGGCATCGTGAGCTCCAGGTCAAGAAGTTGTAGGTAGAGGCGCTTGTTTTCCTGTAATAGAGGGTGTCTGCATAAACTTTGATGACGGAGAGATATAACAGTGGCAAGAAAATCTGAAAATGAAACTACATCTCGTGTGGCAGTTGAGCACCATTTTAAAAGGTGCAGGTATATTAGAATGATATCAACTTATCAAGTCATGAAATGTAGGTGACAAGACTGGTATTATTGCCAAAAGCAAAATGACAACAACATATTCAAGTCTCAGCAGCGTTAATGTTGGCAACCGGGAACGAGTAGAAAGACATGAAAAAGTCATATATACTAGCTAAAGGTTGCCACGTTAATCTAACTTGCATTGTAGAAAACAAACCCTCATTAGAGAACAGTTTTACGGCTCAATTCAAATGCCGGGCTTTCTTACCAACAAATAATTCCTATCTTTACAACCTAATCTAACCTTAAGGCTTAAGCCTGATTTTACACTATCAAAGTTTCTGTGATCACAGTAGGAATTTCGCAAAGGTAAATTGTAAGTTTTGAAGGATTTGTAAGAAATGTTTGAGAGAACTGAGTAGGAGTTTAATACTTAGTCCGTTGCCTCAAACATTTCTTACAAATCCTTCAAAACTTTCAATTTATCTATGCAAAATTCCTACTGTGATCACAGAAACTTTGATAGTGTAAACCAGGCTACCAATCCTTTCATGGTTGAAAAATTATTGTCAACTTTGTGATACAGCTAATTCAAAGGCTTTCAAGGGGTGTGGGGTGGCCCCAAAGCGTCTGGCATTGCTTCCAGCGTAATGGATGATCGGGCCATTGTCGATCGCGATGCTCTCTGATTCGCTCATGTTGTTACCTTGTCTTTCTCTAATGCCGCCTTCAACACCTCTCTCGCTTTATCGACATTCTTCGCAAACTGAAATACAATGAAGAGTAAAGATCAACCCTACTGGGTACAGATCATGCTATGCAAACGTTTAATGATTGTATTATTCAAACTTTACAGATGTATTGTCTTAAACCTAGTCAGATGAACGTTTATTAGTATAGCATGACCAGTTGCTAAGGCTAGCTTCGATACTGGTACATTATTCAGCAGTGATTGACAGATAATTGATATCGGCACGATTTTTGCCTTATCGGTAGACAATCGGAATCGGTAGAATTATCTACATTTCCGATTGTCTAAAACAGATTGTTGGGAAAATACACACTTTAAATTAATGTAGGAAGTGTGTCATTTAGTATGATCTTTGGTTGCAGTAACATGTTACGTTGGAAATTATCGTTAAAAAATTGATATGGAGACGTGACACCCTCACTTGGTGGACTGATATTATGACGTTATTATAAAATCGGTATCAGCCAGATTGTGGCATGTATAATCGGTAATTTCAATCACTATTATTCAGTTTTTTTCCAAACACTCAGTTAACTTTCTCACCTACCTTGGTTAAGAACTTTGCATACTTGATGGAATAGAAAGAGACTAATTGTGCATCAGTGTTTTCTGTAATGGCCTGCTCATATATGGCACGAGCATTGGGAATCTCTTGACATCTCCTTTCCAAGTTTGCTCGTCGAAGTTTCACGTAACCCAAACCAGGTACAACACTGTCCAGTTTCTCTAAGATTTCTCTCGCCTTATCCACATTTTCTTAAAACATGAACGAGTAAAATTTAAGCCTGGCTTACACTATCAAAGATTCTGTAATCACAGTAGGAAATTTGCATGGGTAAATTCTAAGTTTTGAAGGATTTGTAAGAAATGTTTGAAGAAACTGACTCATTGTTAAACACTAAATCAGTTTCCTCAAACATTTCTTACAAATCCTTCAAAACTTAGAATTGACCGATGCAAAATTCCTACTGTGATCACAGAAACTTTGATAGTGTAAACAGTCTTTACAGAATTACAAATTGAGCAATAATACACATCTGCGTTGATCATATATTTTGCTCAAAAGAGAACACAAAATTTGCGATCAAGTTGCGTTCTTAAGGATAGCAATTGTTGCAATGTAAACTAAAATCTTGAGTCCCAGATGAACAACAAGATATACAATGTTCACAAAGCATTGATTTTGGCAACAGGGAACGAGTAGCAAGTCATGGATGAGACATAGCTACTAGCTAAACGTTGCCTGGTTAAGTTTTTGACCAACCCAACTTGAAAGGTCAGTATCTTTTTCAGATATAGGGCGTGGTTAGAGCGCTGAAATGGTATCGCAGAGCAGCAGGTTTGATGGGCAGAGGGCCTATAAGGCTATAACATAATGGCCCTAATATTGCAACTCTCCTTGTTAGGTTTCAAATTGTATCTTCTGCTTGAAAATTGCATTTACTTTTCCCTTTGCCCAAAAATCCTTTTCAGATCGTCCAGACACATATTACAGTAGCCTATCTGTGTGTGAAAACAGGAGGCTTACATTACAGATGATAGAACTCTCATTTACCATGTTTTTCCTCAAAGGCAGCCCATGCTAAATGAATGTGAGGCTTGCTCGGCAAGTGAACACGACATGCCCGATCATACACACTCCGACATCCATCAACACAATCGTGTACTTCCATATACGACGCAAACCTCTGCCAAAACTCTTCATACAGTGCACATGCTATAACACAACGTTCAAACAGTATCACGACACGACGATGATTTCCTGTGCCCACTTCAAAATCAAGATAATCTCTCCAGTTCTTCAATTGAAGTCTTTCTAATGGTTTCACGTGGAAATACGGTCGTTTGATGCCCTCTTCAAATGTCCATCTTTTCGAGACCTCCATTTCATTGGCATCGTACAAGACTTTACGTTGTGCTATGACCTTCTTACGAACTGCGCTTGTTTCTGGGTCCTCAGGCTGGAAATATTGTTATGATAAATTGATGAAAAATCTCACTTCTTGTAGCAAGTCTGCCAGCAAGCCATCAACAAGTTGTGTTCGCACTGCTTGTCCCAACTTGTTAACAAATATGGAACAATGTGTTTAACAGTTGTAATAATCTTGTTGATATTATCAGACTTGTTGCAATGTTGTTCCAACAAGTCCGATGCAGTCATGATATAATATTGTTACAACCTTGTGTCATCAACCTTGTAACATTCTTGTTATATCATGACTTGTTAGAACAACCTTGTAACAAGTTTGATAATGCCATCATGCTTGTTACAAGTTGTTAACAGCTTGCTCCAAACTTGTTACAACAACTGGGAACAAGCAGTACTAACACAACTTGTCGACAGCTTGTGAACAGGTTTGTAACACTTGTTTGTGGACCTGTAGTAGATTGTGCATTTTTATGTGTGTAGAGGAAGCCCGTTCAAAGACACAAAATGTATGAAAAATCCAGTTGCTTTGTTAGAAGAAAATGAAATGATGTCAGTCAATTTGGCAAGACTAGACCATGAAAAAATTGTAGCCATTGAGATATACCCACCTTAGAAACTTCACCTTTGGTTTCCTCTGTAGCGGCTGTTTCGTCAACAGTCTCTCCTAACAAAACAATTTTGTTTACCATTTTGTATTCTGTTTATCTTTTTGGATGTGCAGCTTACAGAATAGGTATGACATCTGACAAGGCATTGAGACATTATACAAAAGATGTTGCTGCAGAAATTTAATTCTGATGTCAAGATCAGACAACAAAATATATATGTTCTTCACACAGCAATACTTTTGGCAACAGGGAACGAGTAGATAGCCAGGGAATTGGCATAACTACTAGCTAAATGTTGCCCTAGAAACCCACATTATTTTTTTACTTGTGGTTAGCCACTAGTTCTATCAGTTCTAAACTGTTCTCCCTAGACGTCCATTAAGGATCATCTCTTATTGATCCAGTGTTTATACTACAGGAGAAAACCTAAACTAAACTAAGGCGTAAAAAAAAAATACCTGTGGTTCCGGTTCCCGACCGATCCCTATTTTTTTTCTGCCGACCCTATTATTTTTTCAGCGCGATTGGCCGTACGACCTTATTTTCTCCAGGTGGTTGCGGGCTGCTCATACAGCGTGCCAAAATGGCATCTGTTGTCACACTAATTATTGAACCAAATTGCCTAAATTCGTCC